GGGAGGGGGCCGCCAGCCCGGGGACTGTCGGGAGGGAGGGGGGTCTGCAGGTTGGGGTCGCTGCGAGGACGGCCACGCGCGGGCATCTTGGTCTGCCCTGTGAACTTCGCTCAGACGAAAAGTTCAATCAGACCCAGACGGGAAGTCTCAGGAAATTACCTTTACCGACAAGAACAACACGTCGAGAACATTAAGCGCAAACACGTCAGCCCTAGCCATTCGCCAGGTTCGGAATATTTGAATATTTGCTTTCGGGACCGACCGCGGCCGGTGGAGGTGGCCGCAGCGTCGGGGTTTCGCGGGATGAGGGTCGCTCGAAGGCCCGTCGGTCCCTGCGACCAGGAGTGGGCGACCTGGAGACGGGGACCGACGAGCCTTTGTCTCGGGTCCGCACCCGGTGCGTAGGCGCCGCCGGGAACTTGTGGGATGAACGCGCGATGACACTTGCGCGTTTAGTAAGTGTATTGGGAACATTGTTTCGTTTACTCCTTCCCACGACCCTTGGGGGTGGGAATTAATACCCCCATTTCATGGGTGGAGTATCAGGTCCCAGCGGATGAAATGACCTGCCCGGAGTCACACAGCCTGAAAGAGGCAGTGCGGGGGTTTGAACCCAGCCCGTCCTCCGCCAGGGCTGCGGCTCCGCCACCACTTGTTCGCCGAAAGCCTGTGTCGAAATCGGACGTCCGCCCGTCCATCGCAAAGGTTCCCTTCGGAGGTCCGGGGCGCCCGGGGGCCCTCGGGCTGAGCTGGATTCGCGGCGAGCACTCCCAAGGCCGAGCTGTCAAACTCATTCCCCAGTTTCCAGTATTTTTCTGCGCACTTACTATGCGCCTATACACATTTTTTAAAAATTAATTATTTTTAGAGAAGCAAGAGCAGGACACAGCCGACAAATGGTTCCGATTCCTCGTGCTCTCTGTGGTGTAACGGAGCGCTGATGGGAGATGTCACGCTGGTCCTGGGTGTGCAGTTTTTGGCCAGTGAGTGACTTCACTTCTCAGAGGCTCAGCTTGTCCCTCTTAAAGGCAAGAGCAGCGGGGGAGACTGAACGAAAATCCTTCTGTAAAGCGCTAAAGCACACAGTAGGCGCTCAGTCCTGCTCGCCCCCTGTCCTCACCTCTGAGCTTGCCAGGGCAGCGCGTTCCCGCTCCCTCTTCCCGCCTCCGGCATCCCCGCCCGACCCGCGGCCCGGGGACTGTCTCAGAGGCTCAGCTTGTCCCTCTTAAAGGCAGGAGCAGCGGGGGAGACTGAACGAAGATCCTTCTGTAAAGCG